TTGAGATTTTGGGATGCAGACTTAATGAAGGTTTAGCAATAGACCTGATATTACAGTCTTTGCTAGATTCTTACTCTCAATTTGTCTATGACTTCATTGAGGATGATAAGAAGAATACCCTTTCCGAGCTTCTGGATATGTTGAATGCTACTGAGTCAGGCATGAGAATGTCAAAAACATTGACCTTGGTTGAAGCTCACTCAAGTGAGAAGGTAAGGGCTTAGAAGTCATTCGAAGGAACTATTATAGATAGGAAGGGTGTTTGTCCTCATTGTGGGAATCCCAACCACTAGAGGAAACATTGCAAGACCTTTCTAGAAAAAAGGAAGAAGAATGTTACTTCTTCGTCAGGTATGTTCTTAATTGAGATTAACTTCTCCCGTCAACATCATGGGTCATTGACTCAGGATGTGGTACTCACATTTGTTCTAATGTGCAGGGACTACGATAGAATAGATTGCTCGCCGAGGGAGAGGTAGACCTACTATTTGGAGATGGAGCACATGATGTTGCATTAACTGTAGGATCTTATGTTAGACCGGTCGTCACGGTCACAAAATTAAACCTAAATACCGTAGTTAGCGGTAAGCAGGGTCGAATCCACAGAGAGCAAGACTAATGACCTAATGTATATTTGAGTTAACAAAAGAGAAATTGGCAGAATGATTGATTAAAATTAAGGAAACTAATTACTTGCAGGAAATTAAAAAGCATTAAATAAATTGCTAACTAAAACACAATATTAAAAGCGTTGTCGCTACGGGTTCGGTTTGACTCAAGACCAACTCTCACAATTCCTCTCCTCGCTCTTCAATTTCCTAATCCTACAAGGCTAGGCAAATCAATAGAAATATCTCCCGGCAATCTAGGCATAATCTATCCTGTCTCCCGTTCGTCTTAGTTACAGATCGATTGGTTAAAGACTATCATTGACTAACCGAAAAATGTTAAACCCTTAAACACCACTAGTTGGTACAACGCTAACAAGTACAACCTACTAACCTGTATCATCCAATCAACTAATTACACAATAAATGCATTCCTAGTAGAAATGATATTAAACGCTACTACAACTTGATTGCAATCAGTACCGAATCAATTTAAAGTCATAATCAACATTCAATAATCTCAAACCGACATTCAATTATGCGAAAAGTTATATATCAATAAACGTTCTCAATGGACATTATCAATTCAACATGTCGAGCATCAGAATAATATTAAAGTATCGTAAACAAACTGAAACGAAAACAAATATAATCTGAATACAAGAAACTAAACCAAATGTCCAACATTCGGGCTCATCCAACCAGTCGAGAGCTGATGAGGAGATCAGTGGAGTCAATCTCGATCTCGCCTACATCGTAACGGACAACCGGGAGCTTAGCCGCTCATGGTAGTGATGACGGAGGCTGAAACAGTGGAAACGGAGCTGACCATGGCAGAGAGGAGGTAACCAACAGCGATATGATGCAAAGGAGGGGCGAAAACGACCAACGGACAGCCCAGAATACGAATAGCCGTGGTTCATCAGAAAACAGTGGCAGAAATGGGATCTGAAGGTACCGATGAAAAGCTTTGGTGATGGGGAGTTCAGATCAGGTCCTGGGAAGGTGAGAAGTCGCTAGAAATGAGCAGGATCTGGCCTGGAAGATGAAGAGTCGCAACGGCTAAATCGCGGATTCCGGCAGTTTTCGCGGCGGCTGAAGCAAGGGAAGTGTAGATCCGGTCGTGGGGAATGAAGATCTACCGTTGGGGAGCTGGAACGTCGCTGGAAAACGGCCAAAACTGGCAGGGAAGACGAAACGACACGGTGGCGGGAAGTCGAATCGTCGCGGTGTTGTGTGGCGTTTCACGGTGGCGGCTTACGGTGGCTGATGGTGGATCGGTGCTTGGGAAGATGGATCGTTGCTGGAGGAAGACGAAGGGTCACTGGAGGGAGACAAAGGGTCACCAAAAAACTGGGTGAACAGCCTCCCCATTCACGCGATCTGCACTTTTTGTTTTATAGAATAAATTACAAAATTTCAGTTTAGTCCCTATGTAATTGAAAAGTGACAAAATCAGCCCCTTAAAACATGACATTTTACCCCCTAAACAGCATAAATGAGACAAAATCACCCTTAATCCATAAACCACAACCCAATATCAACTCATATACTTTCCAAAATCATTTCATACATGTTAAATTCATAAGAAAAATATTAGGAAGCGATTTTCGTGAATAAATTCATAAATTCTTTAATTGTCTCAATATACTTCAATTTAATCACAAATGGGGTATTTTTATCACCAAAATAGAGTCACTTTCATAACTCTAACATCTTATTGTTTGATTTTGCCTACGGGCTTGTTACTTGGAACTTGTGGATTGTTATGATATTCGTTCAGTTTCTAGAAATAATTTTTCTGTGTCCACTTTGGGACTACGGTAGCTTATGTCAAAAAATTGACTTCGAACAAGCAGGGCTCAAAATCCTACGAAAGTATATTTGTGGGGTATCTTGAGGAGACCAAAGGATGCTATTTCTACCATCCAGAAGAGCACAAAACTTTTTGTTGATCGTATTGGTGTCTTCCTAGAAAAGGAATTTTTTCTAAGAAGTATTAGTTGGAGAAAAAGTAAAACTCAATGAAGTTTTAGTACCACAAGATACATTAGACGAAGGACGGGATGATATGCCATAGGAAGTGGTTGAACATCAGGAAGAGGTTACTCCACAACTTGTGGATCAAAATGAACCACCTCAGGTAACACAGGAGCTACATAGATCTGGGAGAGTATGTCGTGAGCCCGAGAGATATGGTTTTCTCGTGACTCAACATGGTGACGTACTGGTCTTCCAAGACAATGAACCCAGAACCTATGAGACGCTATATCTAATCCAGATTCTGTTTAATGACTTGAAGCCATGAAATCTGAGATGGACTCCATATACCTGAACCAAGTATGGTCTTTAGTGGAACCACCTGAAGAGGTAAAACCTATAGAGTGTAAATGGGTCTTCAAGAAGAAGACTGACATGGATGGTAAGATGCATACTTATAAGGCACGACTGGTTGCCAAAAAGTTTCAAACAAATTCATGGTATTAACTATGAAGAAACCGTTTCGCTGGTTGCCATGATTAAATCCATTCAGATTATGCTTGTGATAGTTACATATCATGACTGTGATTTAGCAAATAAGTGTCAATGATTCTTTCCTGAATGGAAACCTTGAAGAGGATGTGTATATGACACATCCCGATGGTTACGTTCTTGATGGGCAAGCTGAGAAGGTATGTAAGTTGCAAAGATCCATTTATGGACTCAAGTAAGATTCAAGGAGCTAGAACATTCGTTTTGATGAAGCTGTAAAAGAATTCAGTTTTATTAAGAATGAAGATGAGCCATGTGTTTACAAGAAAGTGAGTGGGAGCGCAATGGCATTCCTAGTGTTATATGTTGATGACATACTTATGATTAGGAAAGTTATACCGAACTTGCAGTCGGTAAAGACTTGGTTATCCAAGTGCTTTTCTATGAAGAACTCAGGAGAAGCAGCTTACATTCTCGGAATGAAGATCTATCGTGGTAGATCGAGTAGGTTGCTTAGCCTAAGTCAGAGTACATGGACAAGGTACTGAATAGATTCAGTATGGAAGAATCTAAGAAAGGATTTCTTCCAGTGGCATATGTTATCTATCTCTCTAAGGATATGTGTCCTAAACCATACAATGAGAGAGATAGAATGAAAAGAATCCCAAATGCTTTAGCAATTGGATCCATCTTGTATGCTCGGACTAATATCTCATGTGCATTGAGCATTTGTAGTAGATATCGATTAGATCCAAGTGAACAATGTGATGTCATGTACTCGGATTGATGTCTTATATGCATTCAGTAGTTGTAGAAGGTATCAATCAGATCCAAGTGAGTAACACTGGATGAGTGTTAATAGACATCTTTAAGTACTTGAAGAGGACTAAAGATATGTTCTTGGATTATGGAGGGGTAGATGAGCTCACTATAAGAAGATACAATGATGCTAATCTCCAAAACAAATAAAGATGATTTTCACTTGCAATCCGGGTTTATATTTTGTCTCAGTAGAGCTGTAGTGAGTTGGAAGAGGTTGAAGCTAAGTATTGTAGCGGATTCTACAATTAATGCTAAGATATCGTATTGTTTAATGTAGCCGTATAGGCGGTTTGGATCAACAAGTTCATTACTGAACTTGATGTGGTTCCAAGCATTGGCGATCCAGTAAAGTTCTACTGCGATAACAATGGAGCCATTGTTGTGGCTGAGGAATCACGGTCTCACCAGTAATCCAAACACTTACTTAGTTGATTCAATCTGATCTTAGTTGATTCAATCTGATGAGTGTTAATGGACATCTTTAAGTACTTTAAGAGGACTAAGGATATGTTCTTGGATTATGGAGGGGTAGATGAGCTTTCTATAAGAAGATACAATGATGCTAATCTCCAAAACAAATAAAGATGATTTTCACTTGCAATCCGGGTTTATATTTTGTCTTAGTAGAGCTGTAGTGAGTTGGAAGAGGTTGAAGCCAAGTATTGTAGCGGATTCTACAATTAATGCTAAGATATCGTATTGTTTAATGCAGCCACATAGGCGGTTTGGATCAACAAGTTCATTACTGAACTTGATGTGGTTCCAAGCATTGGCGATCCAGTAAAGTTCTACTGTGATAACAATGGAGCCATTGTTGTGGCTGAGGAATCACAGTCTCACCAGTAATCCAAACACTTACTTAGTTGATTCAATCTGATCTGAGTAGTCAATCAGAAAGAGAATGTGCAGATTTGCAGAATACCTATAACCCACTATTGAAATTTCTATTGGAGCAGAAGCATGATGGGACCTTGGGTCATTCGATGTTAAATACATGAATGATTGGCTATAGTGCAAGTGGGAGATTGTTGGAGTAGGTGNTCGTCTTCCGTTATATCCTCTTTTCAGGTTCATGTCTTAAAAGAGAAAGAAAACTTAATGGATCTAGTTGATCCAAGATTGGGCTCAGACTTCAACAAGAAAGAAGTGATGGTGATGATCATTGTGGCTCTCCTGTGCACCGTTACCTCTTCTGCTGTTAGGCCGACAATGTCTTCTGTTGTAAGCATGCTTGAAGGCAGGGCTGCTGTTCCAGACTCGATTCCAAACTCAAGTGACTCCGTGGATGAGGCCAAGCTTGAAGCAATGAGAAACTATTATCAATACAGTAGAGAACAATCTAACGAAGGGAGCACGAGCCAAAGCCAGAGCCAGATCCAGAGTATGTCGATCGACGGGCTGTGGACAGGTTCTTCCACATCTGCATCTGATCTTTATCCAGTCAATCTGGATTCAGAATATCTGATTACTAGAAACTAGTTATTAGAGATGTCCAAATTTTCTCCGCTTGGTTGATAAGCTATTATCACTTCAAACAAGTATATTATCTTGTTTTATTTTGTTTTTCTTTTCCTTTTTAATTTTTCTAGTTGATCAAAACTGAAAATAGTTGAAACATGTACAATTGTATAAAACTTAAAGGATGATTCTATGAAAAATTCATATTTATACAATAATAGTTGCATGGAAAATGGTGGATTATTCTTTTGGTTTGAATAATAATAATAATAATAATAATAATTATTATTATATATATTTATTTTACAATAATAAAAAGAGGAATATTTCTTTTCGTCCCTATGTGAAACTGTATAAGCCACACTTTCTAATAATTTTCATACTGATAAATTTATTGTACATACATTTAATTTTTAAACTTACCTTTATTTTTGAATGTTTTATCACTTATTCACTTTATCAAGTTGATTAAACTTATGTGGAATGGGTTAAATATGTTCATTTGTGCTTATGGCTTATTTATCATCAACATAAACTAAACATCCATGACATAATGTAAAACAAGAATCATTTTTATATGGTTAGGCAACTTGCCTATATCCATGGGACCAAGTCCAACGAAGCTAATCCATTATGATGAAAAAAAATTAAAGTTCATTTACAATACCAAAGTTAAGCATCAGTTACAATGTCAAAGTTAAGCATCAGTTATAAAACACTCCTTGTTATAACAACACTTCAAACTTTACCTTTTGGTTGAATTTCGAACTACCATAGCTAGTTTCTCATCATGATAACACTTGGATAACATTGAGCTCCTCTTAAGGTTCAACAATGAAGACCCACTTCAGCTCCAATAGCTTGAAATCCCATCAAACGTCATCAAGGAAACCCACGTTCCAACAAAGGCTCAACAAAACAAATGGTTAACAAGGGTTATAAGCTTACCAAAGCATATGAAACCTGATTAAAAACAAAGAAAACCTCAAAGGATATTTAGAGAACATTCAAAGGTATATTCATGCTCAAACACGCAAGGAAGAAGAAGCTGGAAACAAACAATCTTTGCTTAACAAAACTCAAAGAAATGAGTAATAAAGAAACGGAACCTGAGTAAATGAATAAGCTCTAGAAAAATTCCAGAGAGCACAATAATGAACGCACTAGGCAGTGGCAGATCCAATGAATGACGAGTGAGGACCATAGTCGCCACTCAATTTTTAAAAAAATTCGATTTTAGATTTATTTAAATTTTGCTCCTATAGAACTTTGAGATTTTGGGAATAGAACGACCTCCACGGTAAGTTTGGATTTGTTTTTGTAAAACTGTGTTTTAATCATAATATACATATTTCATATTTTTTGTGATTATTTATTATTATGCAAGGAGATCTGTTAGTTTTTAAAAGAATTATTAGGAGCGAAAATGAAAGGAATAAGAGCTACTAAGTTTGCATGTAACTGAGGGGAGAAATCTAGGCATTTTTACAACAGAATGCTGATGTGGTGGGCTCATGGTGAGAATAAGAGAATTTTGGGACAGTTTCATAATTCAAGGAAGTTGTTTTATATATAAACTGGGTTGTTCGCCCAAAATAAAGAAGAGAGAAAAATTCATAAAGAATAAAGGAAGTAAAAGTAAAGGAAAAAGAAAAAGAGGAGAGAGGGAAGATGGGTTTGACCAGTTTTATCCATCTGATTTTTCTGCACTTGAGTTGATGGTACTTAAGAACTAGGCTGAGACTTATGTTATTGACATGTGTTCTTGTAATGAATTTGCTGAGTTACAAAGAATTGATGATTTGGCTAAGAATTTGGTTCGGTTTAAAAAAGACATCTTATATCCGTTGGTGTATAAGCTTGTGAAAATTGCATTGGTTTTACCAATTGCAACTGCAACCATTAAAAGGGCTTTTTTTATAATGAATCTTGTGAAAAGTCGGTTACGCAATCGAATAGGAAATCAATAGATGAATGATTGTTTGATCACCTATATTGAGAAAGATGTACATATTTGATACAATTGATGATGATATGATTATTTAACGTTTTCAGAATATGAAAACTCGTCGAGGACAACTGTAGAAAAATTGTTATATTTATACAAAAATTGTGTTTTTTAAGATATTTATTTGTACTTTGTAACTTTTTGTTGAAGCTCATCGTAATGAAAAAATAGCATGGCTATGATTGATTTTAATTTTTTTTTTTTTTTGCCCCTACAAAGTGAAATTCCTGGATCCACCATTGGCATTAGGTTCAAAGAAAATGCAAGGTAGAAGATGATAATATATAATCTTTGCCACTAGGTTCAAAGAAAATGCAAGGTAGAAAAGTGGCAGACAAACCCTTCTAACTTTTGTTGGGACCATAAAGAAAACCTTACAATTTTTGTTTGGACCACCGACAACCTTACCAACGTTGCAAGACTAAATTGGGATAGTATAACACTTGTAAAGTTCGCTCTCACAAAAAGTATGAAAGAAAATTAACTTGACAAACAAGTTAAAAACACCACTTGTACAAAATCGCTAAAATCATGAAAGAAAATTAACTTACCAACAAGTTAAAAACACCACCAGTACATAAAGAAATCTGATTGGGTCATTGTCTTCACACTGACACTAAATCTTACGACATTAGAAGACTATAAAACGATTGTACATAAACAATGTCATGTTGTGACATCCCAACTTAGTGTAGCCTCACAGAATTCATAAGTGGATAAAAATACTTACAAATTTTTTTTTTTTTTAATATTTTCCTCTTTTTGTGGATTGAATATTCCATATTAAGTTATTAGTAAAATAAGGGATAGACAAGAATAAAAAGTGAATTTTAAGATTTTTGTTAAAACATTAAGAGATGAGGAGAGTATCAAAAATTAAAATAATAAAAATCCATCAATAAATACTTAGATTTCTGATCCGGATTTTCTAAATATATTTTAAATTATGGTAAAGGATCAAATACTTAAATGAAGACGACAAAAAATAGATAAATAAATAAATAAAGTGGGTCAATTTTAAAGTAAGACATTTTGTAATATGTACTTTTTAAAGGTGAAACGAACGTAACAAAGGGATTAGAAGTGGAAGAATTTTGGGCCACCTTGCCTTTTAAAGAGAAGCAAAAGGTAGACGTTGACGAAGACAAATCAATTCTCTTGCGTATTAAATTTGAACTTAAACCCTAAATTTGAAATTACAATTTAAACCCTCAAATGATAGGTGTCTCTTATGGGTAAGTTTACACCAAATTTGAAAAGATTTTAACATAATTGATTATTTACACCTAAAAAGTGTTAAGCAATTGTCATATCATAGTCGGGGAAAATAGCATTGAAGGTCATAACTCAATAATAATGTGTGTATCTTTCATATGACGTTCTTCGGGTATAGCTAGACAAATTATACATCATACCAAAGGTCATCTTAATTTTAATAAGTTTATCAAATGAATATTCATAAGACAAAAATATTATCTCGTTCTTTTAAGAATGTAAATAATGGATTTACTTCTTAGAATCCAAATACTTTAGTGAGATATAATATAATGATGCTTATTTCTCAAGATTCTTTGCGCGGGGTATCTATAATATAGTAAGAAGAAGATATTTCCGCCTTTCGCCTTAGAATGGTCAATTTTGTATTAATAAATAATAATCGAGTTTCCAAGAAAGCGGCTATGCCTTCACCAAATGTGCTAAGTGAATTGAAGTCAAATGAGAACAACTATACTACCCGTGACTGATAATTGAAATTGTACCGTATCCCGTACAATAATTTTAAGATTTTATATATTAAAATTTCCAAAGTTCATGTTCTAAAATTTATGGCTCCGTTTGACTTATTATTTTTATCCATATTCTCAATTTTATTCCTTAAATATTATTTGACACATTATTCTAGAAATATTAGTATATTTTTTAAATTTTTTAGACCCCTTAAGTTTATTAATTTCATTAAATACCACTAGGAAAAAAGTTTAAAAATTAACAAAAATACCCTTACCCACCAATACTTGCCAGATTCTGACAACCACCAACGGTGGTAGCCAAAATCTCTCACAATAGCCAGAACTCCACTGAAAATGACCGATAATTCATTGATTTGGCCGAAAAATGTCAGATCCGGCCGTCAACGATGGCCAAAGAAATGGTGGTCGTTGACGGCCAAATCTTGGCCATCGTTGTGGATCTGGCCGAAAAATATCAGATCTAAGGCTGGATGTGGCCGTCGACGGCTAGACTGTCGTTGTCTGTCAAGATCTGGCCGGAAAAGGCTATATTGATCGAATACCCGCCAGATCCGACCGGTATGTGTCCTTAAAAAATTTTTCGACTAGATTCTTGCTGTGGTGGCAGGAATCTGGCACTGCTGGTGGTAGGGGTGTTTTTGTCATTTTATAATATTTTAATATATTGGGGTGTTTATCAAATTAGCAAACCTATGGAGTTTTTTTTTTTATAAATTTTACCTCTAAATACTCCCCTATTCAACTATCCAATACTATCCTTAAAATCATATCCAAAATAATAAACCAAATGCACCCTATTTTATTCGGTCTTTTTATCTTTTTTTTTTTTTTTTTNGCTGATTCCGGCGGTTTTCGCGGCGGCTGAAGCAAGGGAAGTGTAGATCCGGCCATGGGGTATGAAGATCTACCGTTGGGGAGCTAGAACGTCGCCAGAAAATGGCCAAAACGGGTCGGGAAGACAAAACGACGGGGTGGTGGGAAGTCGAATCGTCGCGGTGTTGTGTGGTGTTTCACGGTGGCGGCTTGCGGTGGCGGCTTGCGGTGGCTGATGGTGGATCGGTGCTTGGGAAGATGGATCGTCGCCGGAGGAAGACGAAGGGTCGCCAGAAAACTGGGTGAACAGCCTCCCCATTCACGCGATCTGCACTTCTTGTTTTATAGAACAAATTGCAAAATTTTGTTTAGTCCCTGTATAATTGAAAAGTGACAAAATCAGCCCCTTAAAACATGATATTTTACCCCCTAAACAGCATAAATGAGAC